CAAGAAATTAACAAACGTCTGTTCATCGTTCTAATTCAAGCTCTGACATTCTGGCAACAGCACACAAAAACATGCAAGAATAATACTGAAAACCACTCAGCAAGACACCATCACATGGCGATACAAACACAATTATGAGACACTGATATACTAAGGTTACGAAACCTTACTGAGTTGTTTTATAGTGCTGCCAATATAAGTGTTAAATTCATGAAGTTAATTGTCAGACCTTGTATTAGAAAGCCATGGGCCTGTAATCCTAGCACTCTGGGAGGCTGATTGGGTGTATTGCTGAAGCTCAGGAGTTTAAGACCAGCCTGGGCAAAAGCAAGACCCTGTCTCTACTAAAAAATAGAAAAAAATAGCTGGTTGTCATGGCATACACCTCTAGTCCCAGCTATTTGGGAGGCTGAGGCAAGAGGATAGTTTGAGCCTAAGAGTCTGAGGTTGCTGTGAACTGTGATGACATGGCACTCTACCCAGGGTGACAGAGTGAGACTCTGTCTTAAAACAAAACAAAACAGAAAAGAAAAGAAAAGAAAGCTGTGGGAACAAAAACACACACACATAAAGACAGATATATAAACCAGTGGGGGAAAGGACAGTCTCTTTGAGAAACGGTGCTAGAAAACTGGATATCCATATGCAAAAGAATGAAAATGGACTCTTATTATACACCATTTATAAAACATAATTCCAAATGGATTAAAGGCTGAAATGGAAGACATTGATAGTATAAAGTCCAAGAAGAAAACATAGGGTAAAAACTTCATGACACTCACATGAACAATTATTTCTTTGATATGATATGAAAAGCATAAGCAAGAAAAGCAAAATGGGGAGTACATTGAACTTAAAAACTTTGTAGCAAAGGCAACAATTAACAGAGCAAAAGGCAAGCATTAATCACAATAGCCAAGAGATGAAGCAACCTAAATATCCATGAAGAGATGAATGGATACAGAAAAAGTGGTATATACATAAAATGGAATATTGTTCAGCCTTAACTAGAAAGGAAATCCTGTCACATGCTATAGCATGGGTGAACCTTGAGGACATTATGCTAAGTGAAAAAAGCCAGTTATAAAAAGACAAATATTGTATGATTCCAGTTTTTTTTTTTTTTTTGAGACCGATTCTTACTTGACTGCTGAGGCTGGAGTGCAGTGGGATCAGCCCAGCTTATAACAATCTCAAACTGTTGGATTCCGGAGATCCTCCTGCCTCAGCCTCCTGAGTAGTTGGAACTATAGGTGCCTTCTACAATGCCCAGCTAATTTTTTCTATTTTTAGTAGAGACAGGGTCTCACTTTTGCTCAGGCTGTTCTCGAACTTCATTTCTTTCTTTTTTTTGAGACAGAGCCTCAAGCTGAGCCCCTGGGTAGAGTGCCATGGCTTCACTGCTCACTGCAACCTCCAACTCCTGGGCTCAAGCGAGTCTCCTGCCTCAGCCTCCCAAGTAGCTGGGACCACAGGTGCCCACCACAATGCCCGGCTATTTTTTGGTTGCAGCCATTATTGTTGTTTGGTGGGTCCGGGCTGGATTCGAACCCGCCACCTTAGGTGTATGTGGCTGGCGCCTTAGCCGCTTGAGCCACAGGCGCCGAGTCTGCTCTTGAACTTCTAAGCTCAAGTAATCCTCCATTGTTGGCCTCAAAGAGTGCTAGGACTACAGGCCTGAACCTCCATACCTGTCTGAGTCTTATAACCTCTCCTGTCAAAGCAGAAGAGGAAATGAGCATCTCACTTCTATTCTATAATAATTGCGGATTATTTTATTTACCTGATGCTGTCTCTTGTCAATGGCATGTGAGAAAGATCAGGGAAACTGAATAGTTCTCTCAAACCCTCTCCCAGAATCAAGACAAAGAATCAGATTCATTTTGGGCTAAGAGGATCATATAGTATGACTAAATATACCTAAATAAATTATGTATCTTTACTTAATATGACAATTATTTCCTCTCCTCCTCTCTCTCTTTCTCTTTTTTTTTTTTTTTTGACAGAGATCCAGGTACTGTGCCATGGTGTCAGTGTAGCTCACTGCAACTTCAAACCCTAGGCTCAAGGGATCTTTCTACTTCAGCCTCTTGAATAGCATACCATGATGGACAGTTATTGTTTTTCTAATTTTAGTAGAGATATGGTCTTGCTCATGCTCAGACTAGTCTTAAATTCCTGACCTCTAGCAATCCTCCCCTTTCAGCTTTTTAGAGTGCTAAGATTACAGGCATGAGTATAGAGCCAGGCCAATTGTTTCCTTTTCTAAGACATTTAATTTGATGATTATGAGATCATTGTTAGAAAGCTTTTGGTGGATTTATAGCTTAATTAAGATTTCATTAATTGTCCTCTGATTAACTAACAATGTTTAGCAAAAACAATGTTAAAAAAAGAAGGACAACTTTTATTTACTAATTTAATTTTTTTAAGAGATAGAACCTTGGTCTGTTGCCCAGGCTGAAGTGCAGTGGCTGGATTATAGTTCACTGTAGCCTGGATACATGCAATCCTCCTACATAAGTTTGTGGATTAGCTGGTACTAGAGGTGTACACCACTGCATCTGGTTAACTTTTATTATTTTTTCTAGAGACAAGGTCTCACAACAGCTTAGACTGGACTTCAACTTCTGGCCTCAAGCCATCCTCCTGCCTTGGCCTCCCAAAGTACTGGGATTACAGGGGCAAGCTATTGCACCTGGCCTAAATTTTGAATATATAGAAAAATATGGAGAATGAAACTGGAAAACTTATACATCCATATTCACTCAGTCCAATCTCAACATTCTGCCACAACTGCTTCAGATTTATTTTTTTAATTTCAAAATTCAAATTCAAGGTTGGGTACAGTGGCTCACACCTGTAATCCTAGCACTCTGGAATGGTGAGATGGGTGGATTGCTTGAGCTGAGGAGTTCCAGACAGCCTAAGCAAGAGTGACACCCTGTCTCTACTAAAAACAGAAAAATTAGCTAGGTGTTGTGGTGGGTGCCTGTAGTCCCAGCTACTTAGGAGGCTGAGGCATGAGGATCACTTAAGCCCAGGATTTGGGGGTTGCTGTGAGCTATGATGATGCCACTGGTATCCAGGGCAACAAAGTGAGACTGTGTATAAAAAAATTCAAGATTCAAAAACAAAAATAAAAACAAACAAAACCCAACAAAGCTACAGTGAAGTCGTCTGCCAGCCCTTCCTCCTGCTGTTGTGATAATAACTGTTCTGATTTCGGTATTCCTATTTATATTTTATACATTTATTACTTATTGTATCTATAAATAATATATATATAATTATTTTATTTTATTTTATTTTATTACTATTTTTTTTGAATTTAGCCATGTGCTTTTTATTTTTTATTT